ATTAATTATAGGTTAAATACCCTTTTTGGTCCCTCTACTATAGGAAAAAACCCCTTTTTAGTCCTTATACCGAAAAAATCCCCTTTTTGATCCTTAAATTTTAAAATCTGGCCCATTTTTAGTCCTTCCGTTAAATTTTGTCTGAGGTGGCAAGTTAATTAACGGAAAATTTTATTTTATTTTTTACTTAGATTACGTGGAAAATCCACCTCACAAAAGTCGATGACAGGCCTAACTTTTTTTACGTTTAATTACTGATATACCCTTATCTTCTTCTCGATCTTTTCCTTTCTCCTGTTTTTTTTTTCTTTTTATTTTTTCTTTTACCTCCAGGCAAACCCAGGAGCTGGGTTCTGAACCCAAGCGCCTAGGTTCATCGTGGGTTCCTGGGTTCATTTTATCTTCTTCTCCATCCTTTCCTTTCTTAGGTTTTTTTTTTTCTTTTCTTTTTCCTCCCGGCAAACCCAGGAGCTGGGTTCTGAACCCAAGCGCTTGGGTTCATCATGGGTTCCTGGGTTCATTTTATCTTCTTCTCCATCCTTTCCTTTCTCCGGTTTTTTTTTTCTTTTTCCTCCAGGCAAACCCAAGAGCTAGGTTCTGAACCCAAGCGCCTGGGTTCACGATGAACCCAAGCACCTAGGTTCGTCGCGTACCCAGGCGCTTTGGTTTGTCGTGGGCTCTTGGGTTCGCGATGAACCCAGGCGCCTGGGTTCGTCGCGAACCCACCAGTTGGATTCATCGCGAACCCAGGCTTCTGGGTTCGTCGTGGGTTCCTAGGTTCGCGATGAACCTAGGTGCCTGGGTTTGTCGTTAACCCACAAGCTGGGTTCATCGCGAGCTTAGTCTCTTGGGTTCGTCGTGGGTTCTTGGGGAGAATCTGCAAACCTCCGCTTCATGCCAGAATGCATCTGCTATATATACAACCACATGGCGATGGAATTAAACAAAATTTTGGATAATCGCATCGATGATTACACGGGGATGCCATTTGTGCCCTTAAGTTCTGGGGATTGTGGTTTCTTGAAGAACATAATGATGCTGTTTTACGAAACGATAAGGAAGGAAGTGGAGGACAGTCAAAACAGAACTGCGTCGCATTTTGCTTGGAGGAACTACGATGACATTAATGAGTATTTCTTGAGCAAAAGGAGTTTCAGGAGTCTGAAGTGGCCAATCGACATGCGGAGCAACTTTCTCTATACAGCTAACAAGAACAATAGAATGGGAAAGATGGGGTTTGTGGACTAGAGGTCGTTTTGGAATGTGTTTCGGAGCTTTGATAGGCTATGGGTTTTGTTGATTTTGTTTTTGCAAGAATGATAATTGTTGCTTGGGAGGAGACGTAGTCTAGATGGAAAGCACTAAAAAGAAGAGAGGTGCAGGTGAAATTGTTGACAGTTTTTGTCACCGGAGAAAGGAAAGGATGGGGAAGAAGATGGGAGGAGACAAACTCAGGAACCCACGATGAACCCAGGCGCTTGGGTTCAGAACCCAGCTCCTGGGTTTGCCTGGAGGTAAAAGAAAAAATAAAAAGAAAAAAAAATCGGAGAAAGGAAAGGATCGAGAAGAAGATAAGGGTATATAAGTAATTAAACGTAAAAAAAGTTAGGCCTGTCATCGACTTTTGTGAGGTGGATTTTCCACGTAATCTAAGTAAAAAATAAAATAAAATTTTCCGTTAATTAACTTGCCACCTCAAATAAAATTTAACGGAAGGACTAAAAAAGGGTCGGATTTTAAAATTTAAGGACCAAAAAGGGGATTTTTTCAGTACATGGACTAAAAAAGGACTTTTTCCTATAGTAGAGGGACCAAAAAGGGTATTTAACCTTAATTATATCACCACATATCATATTATAAGCTTCTAATTATGTCATTCTCGTATTTATATAAAATTTTGGGATTAAAGTTGGTATTAAAAATTAGATGACCACAAAATGGATTGGTATTAAAAAAAGGTTAAACCCCCTTTTTGGTCCCTCAACTATCATACGGACCCCCGATTGAGTCCCTCAACTCAAAAAATCCCTGACTTGGTCCCTACTGTTTACCATTTTAACCCCGACTTGGTCCCTCCATTAAAAATTGCATGACGTGTCATATTAATTCACGGTAACACTATGACATGTCAAAACACGTGGAAGACACCATGGCAAACAATAGTGATATGGAAAAAAATAATAATATGGTAAAAAATATTAATATGCCAAAAAAAAATACTTAAAAAACTTGTGTTTTTTTTTTCCCTTTCTTCTTCCCATTGTCTTTCCATTGGGGTCATGGGTTCTTGGGTTCCTTGGAACCCAGGCATTGGGGTTCCTTTGAACCCGACGCTGGGTTCGAATGAACCCAGGCGTGGGTTCT